AATATTCACCAGTTTATGAAGAGATAAACAAACTGGGGCATATTGGATTAACGGAATCTGTGCTGGGAGTACAACGGACGGAACTGTCATATGAAACAACACGGATTAATCTCAAAAGTATTTTGGTATGTGGGAAAAAAACCCATACCATTTATAAGACGTTCTAGAAAGCAAAACTATAGTGACAGAAGCAGAATTAGCAGTTGTCAGCGGCTGGTTGGGAAGGTGAGATCTACTGTCAGGAGCATGAGGGAAGTCTTTGGAGTTGCAGGAATATCTGTCTCTCAGCTGTGGTGGCAATCATCCTTCATATTTGTCACTACTCATCAAGCTTTGCCCTCAGCCTGGGTGAATTTTACTGTTTGTAAATTTCACCTCATTCAAATGGACTTAAAATTTATTTATAGAAGAATCTATAACCATACTTTGTAGAGACATTCGGAAAATTATGAAATGCATTTTCCTGAGCTTGGAAAAGTGTCTCGCATTGTTTCATTAATTTTCTCTTCATTCTTAGAAATTTCCTATTTCCATTATGCTTTCCTTATCTATAACTGAGGTTTGGGTCTTTCCATTTGCCATAAAATAAAAATAGTCTGTTCAGTGCTGGCCTTGGGTCTGAAAGGAAGTTACTGGGTCTCCGTATCTGCAAGAATACAGACAGTGTCTCCAACCTTCTTGCCACCGGAGGCCACGTTTGATGCCTCTTCCTCCCCACAGCAGGTATGAGCTGGAGAGGCTGACTGTGGAGTGCCGCCAAGTTCTAACAGCTGGACCTGCCACAAGGTAGCCTTTGAGGTCTGTGGTTGCCATGGTTACTGGCATGACCAAATTTGAGTACACTGCTGCTTTAAAACAAAGAATTTTTAAATAGGGTTGATCTTATTCCATCAGAACATGGATTATAGCAGTCTTGACATCAGAGAAGGTGTGACATGAATTTTATATGGCTAGAATAAATACATTTAAATTCACTAGAATGTTTTTTTTAATTGTCTTTCATTTACCTGAGGATAAAATGAAGAAATGTGGCCCTGATAATGAAGCATTGACATTGACTCACAGAGACCCAAAGTGTCCATATGGTCACCCCATTAAAAGGAAGAGAGGGAGACCAGGAGAGGTCCTGACTAGAATGTGGCTCACTAGAGTTCCACATGGCCACAGAGCTACTCAGTGGTTATTTGTCTGGTACCCAACTGTACAGTTGGACTGATATATTTAGCAGTTGCATAACCCCATTTGGTTTCCTGTTCTGTGGGTAAGACCCATCAGTGTAAGAAAGCGCTGAAATCACACCCGCGTCAAGATAGTAAATGAAAACCAATTATTGCATCCTAGGTCGAGAGTAGGAATTAGTGTCACCTTAGCAGAGTTGGTGGTCACCATCAACTCTCTGTTTAATTCTCCGGTCTGATCCCTGCAAAAATCAGACAAAGCCCAGAGAATGACTCTAGAAGACTGTACCATCCAGAACAGTTGGGCTCTCTGAGTGCTGGGGTGGACTTCTAAAGGCGTACTTAAATGGCCTGTCCAGAGGCAATACTCTGAATAGCTGTGGTTCTGTCCTTCAGGGTGTCATATTTGTAACCTATCCAAGATTCCTATATGGTGTTTTGTGTTCAGTAGAAGAAAATGTGGGTTGAAGAACCAAGGTGTGGACACACAAGTGGCTCTATTCACCACCGCTTCCAATGTTTCACTGAGGAATTTTGTGTTTCCTATCCCGGCATTGCTGGGCTTTGCAGAATTGAAGTTCCCATGCCCTGAGGAGACACATCCTAAGGACCCCAGTGAATACAAGTTAGAGTTGCTGCCAGGGAACTTTGGACTTCTCATGTGCAGAGACCATGACTGGAGTAAGAAGTCACCCCAGATTGGCAGTAGTTCTTGACCCTGGTCAGAAGGAGCAGGTGGGGCTGATTTTACACCATACACATAAGGAGGAGTCCATCTAGAATGGAGATGGTCCACCTGGGCCCTCCTGGTATTCCTTTTCTTACTGTAACTGTGAAAGTGGTAACCCCAGGCAGAGCTAAATTGTTCAAAGTTCAGAAAAGAAGTTCTTTTAAAAGCTGAGGTCAAGAGAAAATCATGAATAAATAGGGAATGAGGGAGAGAATGAGTACCAAGTGTGGCCCCAAGGTCAACTTCAAAGTGATGACTGTAATGCTTCCCTTCTATCCTCCCTGCTCTCAGTTCCCCTCCAGGCAGGAGTTGCTTCCTGATCCTGTGTGGAGAAGCAGATATATGTGGTGCAGGGGGAAAGTGGCGACTGAGAACATGCTGCTCAGATCTCCTGCTTTATGAAGCATCACTGACAGATGCCCCAGGTACTTTGCTCTGAGCCCACCACCATATTAACACGAAGCTCTGCTTCCTACAGGCTACGCTCAGCCAATGACTCAGGGTGGCAGAGATTCTAAAGCCAGCTCCCTCCTGCAGTACAAGGGACTCCACTGATGGGCATGTTAGTCTTGGGCACACTGCAGCAGATTGGTAGCCTCTTGGTGCTGAGCCCTTGTAGTTCTAAAGGAGCAAATCTCCTTCCTGTCTGCCTGCCTTCTCGGGGTTCAGAACGCCACTGTCCTCTGAAGAGGCCTCAGTATCTCCCAACTTCTCCTCTTTTTCCCTCCCACATGTTCACCACCAAAGTATCTCTTGCACACCTTATCACATCTTGGTGTCTTCATCTTGAAGGACCTGAAACAGTGCAATCTTTTTGAGCATCAAACGTGTGTTCCTTATTTTATTGTGTTACTTACGAATTATCATAGTGTTATTCCTACATGAGAACATGTTTTCAATCCCTATTCCATATAAAAACTGACATACCTCCAACTGCCCCATCCATGAAGAGGCTAAAAGCCAAGGGGAATAAAGGTTACAGACTTTAATTTAGAGGAAGGAACAAAAGCATTTCCCAGGTAGAGCAAATATCTGCTAAGCATATTTAAGGGTACATTTTAATTCATTTCCCCAATTTAATATAACCCTTTCCCTATTCAGACCCCAGTGGAGTTTGGAGAAGAGCAGATCAGCATTCTCTCAGAGCAAACTTCCAAGAAAGTTTACACAAGAATATTTAACTTTTCTTGAAGCTCACAAAACTCTCAACGAGTCAGGATACTGTTTGGGTGACTTCCTTTGAAATAAAAATTTAAAGAATAACATAAACAAATCTATATTTCATGTCTTCCTTTGGGCTTCTTTAATTATGTGCTATTATTATATTTTTGACAGAGCTTTTGAAAGAATATACTTAATGTAGTCAATAACACACATTAATTATCCTTCAAAAAACAGGATTCTGTGGTATTTATGGATACTTAAAGCAAGCATGTTGTTCATGTTTTTTTAACTATATCGTTTATATAGGAAATGTCTAGACCTTCTGGAATATTATGTTCAAATCATGAGCATCCTTTCTCTTTTTTTTTTTCTTTTCAAACCTTAAGTCATATAAATATACCAGAAGGAAATACCTAAATCAAATTTTTTGAGACTTAATAATGCCCTTTTTTCTTCCCACCGCATCCTATCATCGTCTGCGTGTATTGAGTCAATGCTCAAATAAACACGTGTGGCTGTTATTTTCAGAAGCTCTGGGATGCACACATTCAGGATTTTCCTAACTGCTTTCATGGTTTTAAGCCACTGACTTTAATGTGACAGTCATAACGTTTGTGTTTGTAGGGTTATGAGGTTGCACTCATCTATAAACCACCACCAGAGAAGAAACTTTATTACATGCACAAAGTGATTATTACTGAAAGAGTGGAGAGGAGACTTATTATGATGTGTGTGATGTGATTGCCCTGCATGGAAATTCTGTGCATTTGTCGATGAAATTTGGGATAGAAAATGCCAATTAGGCCATCCTCATCTATCCTATGACATCACTAATTACAATTACTAATTTTAGAATTTTAGCCCATCATTCTAGTTTTAAAATAAATCCAATGTAATTGACAAAAATATATAAGCACAGTTTTCAGTAGCTCCAGCTTGCCACAGTCAGCCCGGTTATATTGCATTTTCCAGCCTTGCTCAGTGTCCTGAAATATAGGCTGGGTGTTAATTAAAACCTCACATACCGAAGGATGGAAGAAAAGACCAGACCAATTTAATAAGGATAAAGTTAGGGGATTACATTTCAGCCTAATGATATCACATTCTCCAAATCTCTTTTAAGGACTGTTTGATGCCCCAAATTAACTGGTCATTAGTGACATCAATCCCCTGCTGGCTTTAATCAAGATTCAAACTTGCAGCCCATGGAACACTAACTACTCTCCAAGGCACATAAATTACCTCAAAATTCCCCTCTTCAGGTGGAGACTGTGAAAGCCACTTAACAGTCCATTTTCGTGCTACACCCAAGAGAATAAACGGAGAGGTGCTCTGGTATCAAGAATTGCACTTCAGTACCTAGCGATTACCAAGGGATTTTTGTATCAGCTAAATTAAGTCAATTAAATTTAATGCAGACAATTCATTTTTATATATTGAGAAATTAAACTATGGCCAGAGGGGGTAAATACAGATGAAAAAATCACTGATCAGGTCATAGTGGAAAAAAAAATACTAGTCCATCTTACATGTCAGTGTCTCTCAGTATGTGACAAGGAAAATGATAGATGTGTCACCAATGATGGGGGTTGTTCATAAGGGACTCTCATTACATGCTTCTCATCACAGGATTTTATATTGTGTTCACAATTTTGAGCCTTTTCCTATTTATTTATATTCACCAAAATAGAGTTTTCATAGCAGGAAATGAAGGAAATTATGAATTCTGAAGCAATCGCTACATATGCATTTAAAAGTGTTGATTTTTCAGTCAGTCTCCCGCCTGGCATAAGAGCGTCCATTATGCATGGTTTTCCAGCCTTAAGCATTGATGGACCCCCTCTTACTCACCATCTCACTAACTGATCATTCTTGCAAAATTCACCAAAGTGATAGACATTGTTTTACATCCATTTCTAGTTGTCAAGAACCGTGAAGGGTCCAAGATTTTACCTGTCTGCGTGCTAACAGATAAGAATGCAATCGTCTTCTGGATGCTGGGAGAAGACACTCGACTCCTAGTTTAGAGATCGAAGACCTGATTATACACAGCAGAAGAAAAAGCTGCCGAAGTTTCCGGGTGGCCACATCAGTTCTCTGTATTCCAGTTACCACGTGGGCAATATATGTGTGTCAGGATGCAGTCCTGCCGTGGGTTGCATTTCAGGAGAGTAACATGTAAGCCTTATCAGCAGCCTATAATATAATCAAACCTGCTCGTTGTGAGGGGGGAGAGGTCACCTCAGCCCTCAAGGGTGCTCACTGGAAAATGGCCTAAACATGGAGAGGCCATGTCTTTGCATTCTTGACGTGCCCAGCAAGACGTGGAGAAGTGCAAGGCCCCCATAGAGGGGCGTCTCCGGCACGAGCACCAGGCCAGTTGGGGAGATCCTTTCCAGATTCCTTTGACAATCAACCTTTGTGTGGTATGCAAGCCTAAGGCTGCCTTCCAAAGAGGGATGACCAGCAGATACGCATCTGCCTTGAGATCACAGAAAGGCGTGAGCATTTTTGTTGCCGATTTTATATTAAAGAGTTTAACAACACTTTCTCATTTTCCATCAGCATTTCATAAATGTTGAATCTTTAAATTCTGTACCTATAAGCTAGAGAGCAGTATTTTTCCATAAAAATAAGATATTGCAGATCACTTATAAAACTATTTATTTAAAGCATATTTTTTGTATTTGTCAAGCAATACAGGAAAATGAAGATTTAGGACCTGATTTAAAGCAGACTTATAAAGCTTCTGGGACCCACTGTAAGACCGAGAGCCAGCCAACAGTCAGCTTGCACAGCACTGATCAGCAGCTCCTGGGTTTGATGGAGCTGGGGGTGGGGCAGGGCTAGATACTCTTCAGGTGCTACTGATAAGGAAGGAACCTTCCCAAATACATCATTAACCTGCATCATCAGAGTCCCTAAGTGGACTCAGCATAATTGAAAACAAATTACATTATTTTATTAACCAGCATACTCATTTATTAACAAAATAGTTTAATAATTTTATTTCATGACCAGTGTTATACTATGATTATTAAAATAATTACTATTAAAATATTTTTAAATAGAATAAAGGATAACATAGATCTCTATTAAATATATAATAAAACAATTATTTAAATGATAAATATTAAAGTATTAGTATTTAATATAATCACTAATAATTCTATTTTATTAATAAAATAATAGTAAATGTTACTGAATCAAGACTTTCCACTCTACTGAGTTTTAAATATATTCCTTCTTGTTTAAGACTCAAGCAAGCCTATGAAGTTGAGATTTTAATTGACCCCACTTCTGTGGTAATTGTGTATTTACATATAACACGTGGTCACACTGGTGGATATCGTGACACTTCCTGTTAATTGATGCCCCAGTATTCATTGTTCCTGAACTGTCCCAGATTTTATGGGGGTACCTGATGCCCAGTTAGCAGCTATAGTTTCTGGCCTCCTGTGAGGTTGGATGTGGCCATATCACTAACCTGGTCCATTGGGGTATGAGCAGAAATGTTCTCTTGGACTCAATCTTTTCCACTTTCTGTTGTTTGGAATGTTCACAGCTGGAGCTGACACCTGAACCCAAAAAGGGAGTCAAGCCTGGGTGGGGAAAATTCTGTTTTGTTTGAGCCACTATATTTTGAGCTCATTTTGTTGCAACAACTAATTCTATACCATCATTAATAGAGGCCCAATATTATAATTAGCTTTGATTGGTATTGTCATAATGTGTGATAACTTGATCAAACTCTTTCTTACCTGCAGAGTGCTGTGTTAGCATATACTACCCGGTCAATAACCGGTACTGTCCACGTATGAGAAGCTGAACAGGCACCACCTACATTGTTTCCAGTGTTTACAGAGAGCTGGGGTGACCCATACCCAATCTATTCTCACCATAGTTTCCTTTTCTCTTGGCCAACTTGCCAATTTCTTCTCCTTGACTTCTTTATCCCTCATATCCAAAAGGGCATCCCAAGTTACAAAGCCCCCCAGATTCTCTCTGAATGCACTTCTTTTTAAAGCTTTTTCTTATTATTGGTGATATCACTCTATATCTTCATCTGCCATCATGAAATTTTATTCTATTTTCAGTAAACATCCTTATATATTTACCTCTTTCCCTAATAGTTTTACTAACATGTTGCCTTTTTAAAAAAATGGCATCCTTTTGATATCAATGCAGCCTTTTAGAAATATCTTGAATTAAAAGTGTTATTTTATTAATAAAATATTGGTTTGGGATTTTTCTCTGCCTGAGAAGACAAATCTGGCGGCAAAAGCAAAGGAATCATTAACATCTGATTTCAGCCACAACTATGCCATTTGGAAAAATGCACATACCAGGTTATGATGTACATTAATGGAACAAGTTTGGGCAAATTCCTTCTTGATTCAAAATGCTTATTCCTAGCCAGACCCAACTCTTTTTAATGAAACAAATTTATACTAAAAAATGATGTTGCATTTAATCAAAACATAAGCTGGTTAAAACAGATGGGTGAGTTAGTCTCAAAGCCATTTTGAAACAAATACAGACTTCTAGAAACCAGATCCATATTTGTCACAATTTCACCCCTGGAGCATACATATTCTCAGCTCATAGAGTTCTACATCTTTTTTAGTGAAATATCTTCTGTCCTTTAAGATTTTTATTTTTTTAAGTAATCTCTATACATACCAACATGGGGCTCGAACTTACAACCCGAGATCAAGAGTCAAAGCTTCCATTGACTGAGCCAGCCAGGCAATCCCCTCTTCTCTTCCGAAATGGCCCGGTGTCACCCATTGTAATCTTAAATTATAAGAGCATATCATCATCTCTACACGTGTTGTCCACCAACTTCCCTTGTCCTAAAGGCTATTAAATGTAAACACAGATTGTCTTGGAGTAAATGTTAGACGGTAGCACATTGGCAGTATTCATTCAGCAAAGAAAGTAGGAGTTAATAAAAAGAAATAAAGGCTACGTGTAAGTCAATAAAGACAGTCATTGATTGGGACTGATGCCATATCAAATGGAGGATAAAATTAGAGTGTTATCTTAATCAGTCATTGACAAAAACATGGAAGTGGTGGAAGGTCAGACAAGAGAAGGAGAATATGATTGATTTCCAGAAAGTATACATGTGAAGAAGAATTTAGTTGATAAGGGTCTTTTTTGGCTGCTACCTCTCTCCTGGTTTTGATTATGTTGCCTATCCTCCTCAGTACCTTTCCAGTAGTCAATGACATCAATATTTACCACTGCTCCAGAGTAGAGAGATGTTTTATTCCCTGTGGCATGATCTCTGCTAGCATTAAACTTCCTTATGATTTCTTGGCATCTTCTTTCTCTGCTCCCTACCTCACCATCACACAACATCAGCTTAGTCTTCCCATGAGCAGCACATCGTATAATTCTTTTTTATTTTTTTAAAGTGTTCTAAGTGCAGTGTGGAGCCCAGTGCGAGGCTTGAACTCAGGACCTGAGAACGAGACCTGAGCCTAGATCAAGCGTTGGGCCCTTAACTGACTGAGCCACCCAGGCACCCCTAGAAGCACAGTGTATAATTGGGGAAATTGGGGCATCCACAATGAGGATGTACTGCTGGGCCTTTCTCTTTCAGGCGTTTAGGAATGAAATAGCACAGAGACCTTGTTCCTTTGGAGGCCCTTGTCCTTGCAGTCAACTTAACAGTAATGTTCCTGCCTCAACTTCCAATGTCAATTTTTTCACTTAATAAAGGTGATGTTAGGCTATCCATTTGCTCACACTTTCATATATTTTTCGTTGGTTCAGAATTTACCGGGGGAGTGACACAATCTTTATTGCATTAAAATCTGGATTACCTTAAAAATATCTAGCTTCTAAATTACTTTCTATTTTCTAATTTATGAATCTTTGTTCTCATTTTTCTTGTCAGTCACAGGCCCTGCCACAGGATTGTGCTTATTTGGCGTTTATTTAGCACATCCAGGATACCAGGGTTTGTTCTAAGCGCATAACATACATTCACTCACAAAAGTCCTGTGAGGTTCCCTCTGTTATCTCCACCTGATTTTACAAATGAGGGCTTGGAGGAGCAGAGAGAATCTGCAGTTTTGCCAAGATCACACTGTCCATAAGTGATAAAGCTGGAGATTGAAGCCGGGTGGTCTGTGGCGAAGGGTTAAGTATTTTATTAGCTACCCTCCCAACTGTGGATCCAAGGGCTTCAATTCTAACATTTTGCTTTTGAACTGCAGCTATTTTATTTATCATTCTGTCTAGCTACTGATACAATTGTCTTTTTCTTGTATCAATACCTTCGATCCTTTTCCTCATCTCTGTTCTCTAAAGATAGAAGTTCCAATGACAGAGGATCTTAGGTCCAAAACAGGACTGAAAAATTCACTTTATTTCTTCACACTCACATTTCCAACCTCTGCTCTAAAGGCCACCTAACATAAAATTAGGTAGCAGGTGCCAGTCATGGGCATTCAGTTCTGTGTTCGCCTCAGGCGATGCACATACTTTCCATGGAGAGACCCCGCACGGGGTGGGGGCATTGTGCAGGCAGACATGACCAGGGTCCCTGGCTTTTGGGGGGACAGAAGCGATGAGATTATTTCATGAGCTAACACAGAGTTGTAGCCATGTGGAAGAGTACAAACAAGATTAAGAGTGGGTTAGCTGAAGGCAAACCATTGTTTCCTTATGTGAATTCATGCATGCACTATATTTTTCTGAAAGTGTTTGAACATAAAGCACCAATGCATGCACACCCTTAACCCCTTATAGAAGTAAAAGTCACTTGGGAAATATCTACAAGTAGTTTTAAGTGTGACCTGTCGTGCGTAAATCATGTAAATTGGAACAGTCCTGAAAATGAAAGTTTATTAGTCTCATCTCATTCCCTTCTGGTCTATATCATGTCCATTTTTTAAAATTTTACTCTTGTATCTTTCATTTTTTTTTCAAAGATTTTATTTATTTATTTGAGAGAGAGAGAATGAGAGAGAGCACATGAGAGGGGGGAGGCTCAGAGGGAGAAGCAGACTCCCTGCCGAGCAGGGAGCCCGATGCAGGATTCGATCCAGGGACTCCAGGATCATGACCTGAGCCGAAGGCAGTCGCTTAACCAACTGAGCCACCCAGGCGCCCGTATCTTTCATTTTTTAAAACAAATCTCTTGTATTGCACTACAGCATACAGATAGAAAGTTACAAACATTTTGAATGTATATCTCAGTGGGTTTTTCATAGTAAGCACACCCATAAAATCATCAGGAGGATCAAGAAATAGATCCTTAGTGCCCTCCCAACGCTCAACCCCGGGATCCCCCCAGCTTGCCTGCCCGCCATGGCCGACAAGGAAGCAACCTTTGATGATGCAGTAGAAGAATGTGTGATCAACGAAGAGTACAAAATATGGAAAAAGAACACCCCTTTTCTTTATGATTTGGTGATGACCCATGCTCTGGAGTGGCCTAGCCTAACTGCACAGTGGCTTCCAGATGTAACCAGACCAGAAGGGAAAGACTTCAGCATTCATCGATTTGTCCTGGGAACACACACGTCAGATGAACAAAACCATCTTGTGATAGCCAGTATGCAGCTCCCTAATGATGATGCTCAGTTTGATGCTTTACACTATGACAGTGAGAAAGGAGAATTTGGAGGTTTTGGCCCAGTTAGTGGAAAAATTGAAATAGAAATCAAGATCAACCATGAAGGAGAAGTAAACCAGGCGCGTTATATGCCCCAGAACCCTTACATCATTGCAACAAAGACACCATCCAGTGATGTTCTTGTTTTTGACGATACAAAACAACCTTCCAAACCAGACCCTTCTGGAGAGTGCAACCCAGACTTGCGTCTGTGTGGACATCAGAAGGAAGGCTATGGACTTTCTTGGAACCCAAATCTCAGTGGGCACTTACTTAGTGCTTCAGACGACCATACCATCTGCCTCTGGGACATCAGTGCTGTTCCAAAGGAAGGAAAAGTGGTGGATGCGAAGACCATCTTTACAGGACATACAGTGGTAGTAGAAGATGTTTCCTGGCATTTGCTCCATGAGTCTCTGTTTGGGTCAGTTGCTGATGATCAGAAACTTATGATCTGGGATACTCGTTCAAACAATACTTCCAAACCAAGCCACTCAGTTGATGCTCACACTGCTGAAGTGAACTGCCTATCTTTCAATCCTTATAGTGAGTTCATTCTGGCCACAGGATCAGCCAACAAGACTGTTGCCTTGTGGGGTCTGAGAAATCTGAAACTTAAGTTGCATTCCTTTGAATCACATAAGGATGAAATATTCCAGGTTCAAAAGTCAATGAGACTATTTTGGCTTCCAGTGGTACTGATCACAGACTGAATGTCTGGGATTTAAGTAAAATTGGAGGGGAACAATCCCCAGAAGATGCAGAAGATGGGCCACCAGAATTGTTGTTTATTCATGGTGGTCACACTGCCAAAATATCTGATTTCGCCTGGAATCCCAATGAACCTTGGGTGATTTGTTCTGTATCAGAAGATAGTATCATGCAAGTGTGGCAAATGGCAGAGAACATTTATTTATTTTTTTTAAGATTTTATTTATTTATTCATGAAAGACAGAGAGAGAAAGAGGCAGAGGGAGAAGCAGGCTCCCAAGGAGCAGGGAACCCGATGTGGGACTCGATCCCAGGACCCTGGGATCATGACCTGAACCAAAGGCAGACGCTTAACCATCTGAGCCACCCAGGCGCCCGGCAGAGAACATGTATAATGATGAAGATCCTGAAGGAAGTGTGGATCCAGAAGGACAAGGGTCCTAGATATGTCTGCACTTCTTGTGATTTTAGACTCCCCTTTTTTTTCCTCTCAACCCTGAGATTGATTTAACATTGGTTTTGAGACACAGACTTTGTTTGGCTATCCCTCTATGATAGGTACCATCAACAATGTTATTAGCCCAAACAGAGGGTGTTTTCTAAATATTAACTGGGGGACTTGATTCAGTAAAGCCACAGACTTATATTTAAATTTTCTTTAGGAATTTTCTAGTAACAAAGATCTAAAGTAGCCACAGAAAGGGGAATATTATGTGTGGTTATTTTTCTTCTTAGGCTATATCCCCAAGTTTTTCAGACTCCTTTAAGTAAAGGCTAAAGTAAGGAAGGAGTAGAGCCAAGTGAGGTAGGTGTCTGAGCCATGAAGTATAAATACCACAAGATGTCGTTTTTATTCAGGAAATGGGGGAGATTCAAGTCATATAAATTTCCTATTCTAAAATTTTCTCACCTAGGGGCGC